TCCTTCCTTCCTTCCTTCCTTCCTTCCTTCCTTCCTTCCTTCCTTCCTTCCTTCCTTCCTTCCTTTTCTCTCTTCTTCCCGTTCTCATTCTCCTTCCTGGTGGCACAGTGGTTAGAATACAGTATTGCAAGCTAATTCAGCTTACTGCCAGCAGTTCAATTCTCACTGGCTCAAGGTTGACTCAGCCTTCCATCCTTTCGAAGTCAGTAAAATGAAGACCCAGATTGTTGGGAGCCATAGGCTAACTCGCTTAGAGAAGGCTGTAAAGCACTGTAAAGTGGTATATAAGTCTAAGTGCTGTTGCTATTGCTATTGCTACTCTGAGTCTTTGTGATATATTCATTAATTTACACCAGGACCACAGTTCAAAGGCCTCAATTTGATCAGCCATTCTTAGTATCCAACTCTTGCACCCCTACATCATTATAGGGGAGACTATTGCTCTAACTAGCCTGCTTTTTGTTTATTTCTACTTGAGAAATATGATATACTTAAATAACATCCTGTTTCAAAGTTGTTCACTTAGAACAGAAAAGTAGCTGGATCTGCAGAGAATAGTCATCACCAAGATACTCAAGGCTTTTAGAAGATCTCAATTAATGTGAGATATGATAAAATATCAGCTTTTCTCGCAAACATACTTGAAGTTTTAGAGCTCTGTGGGCGATGGAGTGTGTCCCTGACTTTTTGAACTGTGTAATTCCCAGATGTTTTTGAGATGCAGAGTTTCTAGACTGCTTGATAATCATGAGAGATGAAGTTCAACAAATCTTGAGGGCCTCAGGTCAAGAAAAGTGCAGGAGATCATGATCAATTAGCGTGTGTTGACATGCTAATCAATTAGCATGATGCACCAGAAAGTTTTGTGCGCCCTCATTGGAGTCAAGTGGGAGACCCGTTGAAATAATTTAATTTAGAATATCTCTTCTGACATAATTTAAAAAGTAATGAAGGAGGACAAATATGCAACTTGTAGAATTCCTTTGGAAAACAAGTTTAGAAATGCGTAGCTACCGTGGAAAAAGAGACCACTGTTTCAAAGTCATAAAATAATGGGAAACTTGTTATGAGGGATAAAAGGATGCCAAATATAATTCACCTGGTGTAAGGAGGAAGTGGCAAGATAATTCTTGTCCATTTGTTGAAGGTGTCAGAGACCAAGATCCTCTGCAGATGATACCTGTTGCATTCCACATTAGTAGGAAGGCAGTCTTTTACCACAGGTTGCCATGTCAAACCAAGGTCCACAGAATATTCCAGCTCGATAGCTAAAAAAAAAAAAGGGAGAATGAAATGCAAAAATTGCAAGACTGGCACATAGGCAAGCATTAAAATATTAAATGCGAAGAAGCATAGAGATAACTTGAATGCCTGCTCCAAAGGTACCTTTTTAAAAAGGCAACTGGACTTCCTTGGTTTTTCATGGAAAAAGTTTCACTTCTCACCCAAGAAGCTTCTTTGGTTCTCCAGTCAGCACTGAAGAAGTTTCTTGGATGAGAAGCGAAACGTTTTCCAAGAAAAACCAAAGAAAGTCCGGTTGCCTTTTTTAAAAAAAGCACCTTTGGGACAGCCATGACCCGGAGAGCAACCAGGATGATTAGGGGACTGGAGACTAAAATATATGAAGAACAGTTACAGGAACCTGGCCTGGCTAGTCTAGTGGATAGAAGGACCAGGGGAGACATGATAGCAGTCTTCCAATATTTGAGGGACTGCCACAGAGAGGAGGAAGGGGTCAAGCTATTTTCCAAAGCACCTGAAGGCCAGACAAGGAACAATGGAGGCAAACTGAAGGAGAGATATAACCTGGAAATAAGGAGAAATTTTCTGACAGTGAGAACAATCAACCAATGGAACAGCCTTCAGAAGTTGTGGGAGCTTCATCACTTGAGACTTTCAAGAAGAGATTGGACTGCCATTTGTCAGAAAAGGTGTAGGGTCTCCTGCTTGGGTGGGGGATTGGACTAGATCAGTGGTCGCCAACCGGTGGGCTGCAACCCACTGGTGGGCCTGGAGAAAATTTTGGTGGTCTGCAGAGAAATCTCACCCCAGAGCACCCCCCAAAGCAATTAATGCAGGCAGAGCAGAAACACAAGGCTGCGCCATCCACATGGCCCGCAGGAACGCTCCCCACCCACTCACTCTTACCCAGCAAACTTGCCTGCTAAAATTGCTATTTTTCCTTTTTCTGACCATCATCTGTTCTGCTGTGCAGGGAGATTTGCATTAGCTAGGAAGCAGGAAATGGTTGGATTTCTTGCTTTCTAGCTAATCTTTAGATCTTCAGCTCTGCCAAACCTCCCTTAGGACTGAAGGTTGGCTTGCAAGCAAATTCAGTGCAGACTCGCGGCAAGCAAATTTAAGAGACTGAGCTAGCCGATGGCAGATAGATAGATCACTGAATGATTCTTTGAGCAACTCAATCTGCTTGCTTTGCTTGATTTTGGGTAAAAATTGCTCTTTTTTATTAAAAAAAATAAATATTTACATACATGGTGTGTTGTGAGTTAATTTTGTGAGTTTGCTTGCAAGCAAATTTAATGGGACAGACTGAGCTAGCCAATGGCAGATAGATAGATCTCTGGATGAATCTGTGATTCTGTGAGCAACTCAATCTGCCTGCCTGCTTTGCCTGATTTTGGGTAAAAGTTGCTCTTTTTTATAAAAAATCCAATATTTATATAAAGATTTATAATATTTACATACAAGCCATGCCCAGCCAGTCACATGACCACCAAGCCACACCAACAAATTAGGTCATGCTCACAAAACTGGTTAGTGGTCCCTGGGATCAAAAATTATGAGTTTGGTGGTCCCTGAGGTCCAAAAGGTTGGCGACCCCTGGACCAGATGACTTATAAGGTCCCTTCCAACTCTGATTATCTGGATGGCTGAGAATCTCCATAGATATTTGAGTGACTGCTGTAGGGGAGCAGATCCAAATGTTCTATCATGTGTTGAGTTTTACATTGTTCTCAAAGAATACCTGCTACAGAGTGAATTCCACTAAAAGTAGAGAACAAAGTTGGCCATTCTATGGAGAGGTGCCTCATCTCTATGGACTAGAACAGTGGTCGCCAACCAGTGGGCTGGGGACCACTGATGTTCTGTGAGGAAATTTTGGTGGTCTGCAGAGAAATGTCACTCCCAAAGCAATTAATCCAGACTGATTGAAACACAAGGCTGTGCCCCCCACATGGCCCGCAGGAACACAAGGCTTGAGTTGCTTGCATTGTGAACAACACAAGGTAGTGGGGGGAGGGGGGAAAGGGCGGAGGGGGGGGAATTGCCCCACTCGCCCCATGTGCCTGGCCTGGCCACCTGCTTCTTTCTGCTTCTTTCTTCTTCTGCTTTTGGCTGCATGCAAGGAAAGCAGCAAAAGTCTTTCTTTCTCTCCCCCAAACTCTGCCAGAAATGAGTCTTTGGGACCCTGCAAGGCATCCTGCTCCAAGAGGCTGCACCGGGGTGACAAGTCTCACAAAGGCTCATTTCTGGTGGAGTTTGGGGGAGAGAAAGAAAGACTTCTGCTGCTTCTGCTGCTTTCCTTGTATGAAGCCCAAAGTTTCTCTCTCTCTCTTCCCCTGAGAACAGAGCTGGAGACGGTATCCTGTGATCCCAAATAAAGAATAATCGATCGGTAGGAAAACAGGTGGGGAATTTTCCTGCAGACTTTTTGGGGGGATCTTCCCAGGATCTCTGGTCTGCGGGATTTAAAATTATGAGTTTGGTGGTCCCTGAGTCCAAAAGGTTGGTGACCCCATCACATGCTCTGTCTTTTCTATCCTGCTCTACGGAGTGGAGAGTTCGTCTTTGACAGAAAACCCCTGGAAGAGACTAGAAGCATTTGAAATGTTGATTTACAGTTACATATAAGCTGGGTTGACAAAATCAGAAATGAGGAGGTGATAAGCCGCCTGGGAAAGCCAAGGGAAATCATCCAAACCATAAAGAAACACAAAAGGTAGAATATTTTGGACATGTGATGCAACACCTGGAAAAGTACAGCATATTCACCTAATCCTCCAGGGAACGATTGTGTCAGGACTCTGACAACACACTCCCATTTGAATCATGAGTCTCTAGCCATATCTCTCAGAGTTTAAAAAAATCATTTATTAGGAGTGAACCTGTCGGGGTGACCTGGGTGCAGCCGGCACTGAGATACATCATTCATTTCACCCTTGACCCTGATCTTCCCCCAACCCCTAGATGTATATTCTCCAATGGGACACATCCATAGCCAAAATTCATCAATCATGCTCTCCAGTAATAATCTTGCGCGCCAGAAGCTTCGGCTGCCTAGCAATTATCTAAGGTATGCATTACTCTCCCAACTCCCTTTCTGCTGACAACTCTGAAAGACAAGAGAAATATTTTTGAGTTGACAAATTGAAGGCAAACGAGGTCCAGGCAGAAGAAGGACATCATGGCTTCAAAATCTAAGGGACAGGTTTGGACAAAACTCAACAGCACTTTTTTGTCTGGCTGTTGTTAAATATAGGATTGCCAGCATGATGGCCAATGTCCGATGATGGATATATGGCACAAGAAGAAGAAGAAACCTAACATCGCCTCACTAATTCAGTGTTTTCTCAAGACCACGGCAGTTGAAAAAGGAAAAGCACTCCGATATTTAATCAGATAAAACAACTTAGGATGTGAAATAGTGAATTAATGCTCTTCTGCATTTGGGTCTTGCAATTGTAGGTGATCCCTGCCGGTTAACATAGTTATAGTTTTATGAGTTAGATTGTTTCTGGCTTCTAGCATTGGTTGTGTTATCTACTCTTCTGATAGTTGTAGCCTTGTATTCCAACCCCTTTTGGGATCTGGATGGCTCACAAATTGCTTAAATAAATATGCAGCCATAAAAATAAATCAAATGGAGGGCAGATTATGGAGCCACTGAGATGTTCATTGGTGGGCACCGATGAATAAATCAAGGATTTAGGCCGATAGAAAGGATAATGAAGTTCTGAAATAGGCACAGATGTTGAGATTTTAGATAGCATAGCTGGGTGCTTCTCAGCCTTGGCAACATAAAGGTGTGTAGACTTCAGTTGTGGAAGTCCAAAAGTTGCCAGCACTGAGAAACATTGGCATAGCAACAGAGAACCTACACTACAAACTAGCACACTTTCTTAGTGCAGGTTGTTCCTCAACTGCATCTTTGCCAAGTGATCTTAAGCAGGTCATTATTATCCAGCCTCTGTCTTCTAGCTACTATATAAAATCCATCTAAATATACTAATTACCGTATTTTTCGGAGTATAAGACACACTTTTTTCACCCTCAAAAATGGATGGAAATGTCTGTGCGTCTTATACACTGAATGTATAAGTGACCGGTCAACCACTGGCCCCCACCCTTTGGCCTCTGCCTCCCAGCAATTTGCCCCCTTGCAGCAAATAGCAAACAGCCTGTTTCAGCTTCAGTGCAGCCTGATTAGCACAAGCAGCTGATTGTTGGTTGGGCCTCCCGATGATCAGCTGTTTCAGGCTGCAGGATTGCTATTGCCTATTGCCGCCTCTGCACACCCCATTTTTGGCCTCCACATCCTATTTTTGACCGTCCCTCCACATGCCCTGTTTTTGGCCTCCGCACGTCCCATTTTCCTCACATTCTGATCTCTGCTGCCCAGAACGGGCTGCAAACAGGGCACACGGATGCCGAAAATGGGGAGTGCAGAGGCTGAAAGTGGGACGGGGCATGTGTAGGTGGCAATAGGCGATGGCAATCCCTGAAGCCTGAAACAGCTGATCATTGGGAGTGTTGTGCTCTGGAGCTGGCAGCAGAGTCAGACAGTAGGGAGAAACATGGGCCAGTCCTGAAGTTTGGGGAGGGCTCAGACAAGGGATCTGCTTCTGACACAGAAATGGGGCCAGGGCCATCTGAGAGTTATGTGCAACTCCAGAGCATCCAGAATCTGACATCAGTGAAGCAGAGGAACAAGGGGAGCCTGTTCCCAGTGCGCGCTTGCACAGAGCTGGCAGAAAGCAAGAACAGTGAAGACAAAAGGGGCAACTCAGGAGTATTTCCAGTAATACCAGAAGTGCTGAAATTGGCCCATTTTTCAGCCTCCAAAGGCTGCAGAGGCTTCCATTAAGTCCCTGGGAGGGCAAAAACGGCCTCAAATGGGCCAAAAATCAGTTGGGAGGCGCGCAGTGCAAGTAAGTTTGGTTGGGGCTTGTGTACCCACACAAATGGCTTCACGTGCCACAGGTGGCACGTGTGCCATAGGTTCGCCATCATGGCACACCAGAACAACTAGTCACAAGGACAGTTTTTTCGTGAAAGCCATCACTCTGCTAAACAAATAATTCCCTCAACATTGTTCAACTATTACAAAGTCTGCACTACTATTACTGTTCTCATCACTCCTTATCACCCATCCCCTCCCACTTGTGACTGTATGACTGTAACTTTGTTGCTTGTATCCTTACGATATTTACTGAGTGTTTCCTAGTATGATTTGATTGCTTATTGTACCCTCTGACTATTATTAAGTGTTGTACCTGATGATTCTTGATGAATGTATCTTTTCTTTTATGTACACTGAGAGCATTTGCACCAAGACAAATTCCTTGTGTGTCCAATCACACTTGGGCAGTAAAGAATTCTAATCTAATCTAATCTAATCTAAATAACAAATTTAAAGAAATGGCTTTTACCATAGCAAGAGTCCGTGACCGAACAGGAAGCAGCAAAATCCAGCTGAAGAAAAGAGTCTTCGTTTATGGCGATGTCAGTTGTGACCACGTAACGAGTGCTGGCTTTCTCAATGAAGACCAGAGCATCTCCAGAGGAGCCACAGACAGGCATTTTGGTTCCACCTGGGTGGAGAAGCCATTTCTTGCTGTCCAAGGTGTTGAAATCATCTTCCAGGACTGTGTTGCCAGAAATATTTCCACCAATAAGGATCTAGAATACAGAGACAAACACTGAAGTAATTTCCTGTGAGGAACCTAAATTGAAAGGTCTGTGGAGATTCTCAGTCATCCCAGGTCATGGTTGTCCCAAAGGTGCTTTCCCAAAAGGCAACTGAACTTTGTTTTCCCTTGAATACATTTAGTTTCTCATCCAAGAAAACTCAGTTGGATCAGCGGCATGGAGAGAATAACAAGACATAATGCCTCAAAGATATGCTTCCTATTTTGATAGCACTCTGGAATCAATCCAGCTTTGTTCAGGCTTCAAAAAATACTAATTTAAAAGATACACCAAAAATGAAAGTGACAAAGGACTTTAAAAACAACAACCAGCCAAACAAATATATCAATGTTGTCACATTTTATCTAAACTTGGGAAAGGATAAAATTAAGTATGAACAACATTTAAACTGCATTCACTCTGGATAGAAGTTTAGAACTGGGTGGATTTTTTGAAAGAAAATATCCTGCTGGAATAGTGTAAATCACTTTATCCTGCAGGAAAATGATGAAATATCACATAGGTTTATTAAATAACTCTCTTCCTATTGATCAACACACATTAGGTGACTATATTTTTATTTTATTTGTATCTCACCTTGTCTACTACACCAACTGTATAACTATATAATACAAGAGGACTCATTTATTTTTGTTATTTTTTATTTATATATTTATTTGTATACCACTTCCACTTTTACAAATAGTTCAAGGCAGTGAACATATCCAATATAGTTTCCTTCTCCTATTTTTCCCACAACAACAACCCTGTGAGGTGGGTTGGGCTGAGAGAGAGTGACTGGCCTAAAAATCACCCAGCTGGCTTGCATGACTAAGGTGGGACTAGAACTCACTGTCTTCTCATGATTGGCCCCAAGTCATGCACCCACCTTTTGTGCCTAAGGTGGGGTTAGAACTCCCAGAATCCTGATGATTGGCTAATAGTTTTCCAGCCAGCTTTTGTGCTTAACTTGGGACTATAACTTGCAGGCTCCTGGTGATTGGCCCAAAGTCATCCAGCCAGCTTTTGTGCCTATGGCCCATAGTCTTCTAGCCAGCTTTTGTTCCTAAGGTGGGACTATAACTCCCAGGCTTCTGATGATTGGCCCAAAGTCATCCAAGCAACTTTTATGCCTAAAGTGGGACTAGGACTCCCAGGCTCCTGGTGATTGGCCCAAGGTCATCCAGCCAACTTTTGTGCCTACGGTGGGACTAGAACTCCCAGGCTCCTGGTGATTGGCCCAAGGTCATCCAGACAGCTTTCATGGCTAAGACAGGACAAGAACTAATGGGCTCCTGCTTCGCAGTCTGATGCCTTAACCACTAGGCCAACTGGCTCATTGTCCCAGAGATTCTTTCGACTAACAGCGTGAGAAGAACATCAATGCTGAGCATACCAGATGACCACCTAGTCTTCTCTTATGTTTATTCAATGGTCTACCGTATTCCTCTGGGAAGCTCTTAAACAAAATATGAGTGAGGCAGTGTCTTCTGATTCACATTTCACAGCAACTGGGTAACCATATATATATATAGTTATATACATTTAAAATATAGTTACATATTATGGTCTTTCTGGCCTCAAAGACCATAATATGTAACTACAGTATATTTTTTCTTGTCATAGTGGAAAACTTGAGAAGATGAGAAATTGAGCATTTATTACTTTAGGATCCAGCTGGGCTATTGCATTTTAAATCAGAAATCAAACTTGTTAAGTTTGAATTCTCTATGGTAGAAATTTATATATTTATTTTTTAAAGAAAGGGGTTATTGAAAGAAGAGTAAGCTTAAAACAGGCATTGTCTGTTTATTCTTCATTCAATATCGAATAACAATGAAGGATTAACAGAATGAGGCTATGGAACAATGGACCATTTATTCTGTAATTACTCTGTAATTTTTCCTGAATTATAGGAAGGGTGCTAACTGACTCTTAAATTAAGTATGACTTTTTTTAAAAAAGAAATTTCCTGCATATAGCATATATTGCACATAACAAGTTATGTTATAAACAAATGGGAGCCTGCCGGGAGGCAATTTTAGAAAAAAACATATTTTTGCTCTGAGCCTGTCCTAAATAGATTAAGAGGTGCAGTAAATTTTCCATAAATGGCTCTTAATGCTCTGTAAACAAAGAGTTATTTGTAATTATTACCTATAATTATGTTGCTAAGCTGCTAAGGTCTTCTGTATTACATAGAACCGCAATGAAAGTTGCTTTTGTAAAATACTGAGAACAAAGCTTCAATGCTTAGTGTAATGCAAATAATTCCAGATTGAAATTAATAGCAATTGCTTTACTATTTCTTTTTGTCTGAATGGAAAATTAGCACACAATAGTCCTCAAATTTCAATAGTTCATTTAGTGATCATTCAAAGTTACAATGACAGTGAAAAAACTGTCATGGTCATTTTTCACACAATTGTTGTAGCATCCCCATGGTCATGTTATCAGGATTCAATGGTAGCAAGAGAGGTCATAAAATGGGGCAAAACTCTCTTTAACAACTGTCTCACTTAGCAACAGAAATTTTGGACTCAATTGTGGATCGTAAGTCGAAGACTAGCTGTGCTGTTTTTCCTTCCTTGTCAAAATTAATTATTTGCCTGTTTTTTTGAAACCATTTTAATATTATTTATTCTGATCAGATCTAATTAACAGTGAGTGACTGTGAACACTTTTCTTCCTGTAAGCAAAAGGAAAAAAAAACAATATTTGTATTGCTGGCATTTGTTCCTGTCATGAATTTGATATCCAAATATTTTGGGGAATTTTAAGAAGAGGCAGATGGCTCAGAATTAAACATCACAATATGTAAATATAAAACATAATAATTATTCCAATTCCTTCCTTAACACTATTTTTAACGATAGCTCGTGGCCACATTAGGATCTACTTTATTTTAACTTTTTCTTCCCTATAGTTGTTAGATTTATTGAAATGATAACTTTCTCAATTAGCCATGTCTATTAAAACTTAAGTATTGATTATTAATTTCCTGCCTAAGCAGGGGGTTGGACTAGAAGACCTCCAAGGTCCCTTCCT